TCACCTACCTGGCACATACACACTCAATAAATTTATGTTGATAATGTAATCAATGCTTCTGCAGTTGATAGGGGTACACCTTATCTCCTCAGTTCTGGGAAGTGAATTCATGGGAGCAGACAAAGAAGGGATCTTGCAGCTGCCACACATACCATCACTGCACTCTATCACATCACCAATGAATCTATAATGACAACTTGTGGTAAGTCTCATGCAAGAAAAGAACATGAGGGAAGCATGTGAGCAGCACGCACTTTAAATTGGAGGTTTAAGGAAAGGCTGTGTGTGGAAGTGAATAAAATATTGGGCCAATACCAGGGAAGAATACCCTCCTATACTCCCACATCTAGAAAATGGCATTCTATTTGGCACGCTGCATTTTAACAGGGAAACAGTCAACCCTGAACTCATCCGGAAAAGAGCATCCCTGATGCTGAAGGATGTGGAGTCCATGTCATAAATATTCAACTCATTTATTCAATAAATATGTACAAGGCACAAAACACTAGCTGATACTAAAGAGGGTTTAAAAGGAAGAAAAGGGTTCAGATCCCCATACCAGCCAGCAGCCCAGAGTAAAGGGAAGACACTAGCATTATGGTCTTTGTTTTAATCTGTTTTGCGTTGCTGAAAAGAAAAAAAAAAAGACTACGGAAATGTTCCAGGTTAAAGGAAATTAAGGAGTCATACAATTAAATCCAATATGTGATCCTGAAATGATCCTAAACCAGAGAAGGGACATTAATGGGACAATTGGCAAATTTCAATAAGATCTATAGATTAACTCTATTAATGTATTAATATTAATTTAATTTTTTAAAGATGACTGGTAAGGGGATCTTAACCTTTGACTTGGTGTTGTCAGCACCACGCTCTCCCAAGTGAGCTAACCGGCCACCCCTATATAGGGATCCGAACCCGTGGCCTTGGTGTTATCAGCACCGCACTCTCCCAAGTGAGCTAACCGGCCACCCCTATATAGGGATCCGAACCCGTGGCCTTGGTGTTATCAGCACCGCACTCTCCCAAGTGAGCTAACCGGCCACCCCTATATAGGGATCCGAACCCGTGGCCTTGGTGTTATCAGCACCGCACTCTCCCAAGTGAGCTAACCGGCCACCCCTATATAGGGATCCGAACCCGTGGCCTTGGTGTTATCAGCACCGCACTCTCCCAAGTGAGCTAACCGGCCACCCCTATATAGGGATCCGAACCCGTGGCCTTGGTGTTATCAGCACCGCACTCTCCCAAGTGAGCCACGGGCTGGCCCTTCCTTAATCTTGATTTATTTGGTTCTTGGAGTCATCTTGTCTGGGTACCAGATGATCTACATGGTCAGGTCACCCCAACCTCAAAATTTGCAAAAACAACTTATATATGTGAAGTAGCAGCAAGCATCTGGTGACTCTAAATCACGATGATTATTGTTTAAACTATTATTATTTTATGTTTAACTGGCTACATTTTTCCTTAAGATAAGAAGAACCTTCTTTAATCTGATCTTTATCCTGTTTTAAGTTTCTACGCTTGTTTAATAAGTTTTACATACTTAACTGCCATAGTAGCTACAGGCTAACTTTTAAACTGAGCAAAATACATTTTTCCTTTAAAAAGTAAAAGAAAACTAAATTCACGACTGTTGATTTCAATAGTATCTACTCCATATGGATACTGTGATGATTATGGGAAATAAGGTACATAAAAGTGTCTGGCACAGAACAGAGTTTGAATCTATGAACTAGACTAAGAAATTCCATTCCAATCCTCTAAGGAGATACCAACCTCAACCACTAGAGGGAACTCTCAGTCCCGCTCCTCGAAGTGGGACAGCACCGAGTGGCAGGTTGCCCCTCCGGATACACCAGCCTTTTCTATGCGGGGAAATTCACTCCCACTCAGGAAAGCTGGCTCCATGCTGAACTCCATGGTGTTTTGTCTGAGTCACAAAATTCTCCCGCAGTTGCAAAATGATCTGGCAAAAGTCCCTCCAGAGCTTTTACTGCTTACTAAGTAACATCCAAACTCCCTGCCAGAACCCAAGACTTTCCTCCATCTGGCCCCAGTCTACCTCCCCAGCCTGAACTCCCCTGAATCCTTTTTACTGCAGCCACTTGGACAAGTCACACTCCTGCCTCTATGCCTTTGATCATGCTGCTCCTTCTCCTTGAAGTCTTTCCTCTATCCCAATCTTCTGCAACCCCTACTTCTTTTCCAGTGACTCTAGTGCACCTCCTCACTTCTCCAGAGTGATCTTGCGCACCTGATATCATATCCAACAATCTCGAATTAAATTGATGTATGTATGTGCATCTTATCTCTTCAATAGATAAGAAACTCCATGAGTAAAGAGGCCAGGAGGTAGTTTGCCTAGGGCAACAGCAAATAAGTGGCAAAAATGGGATTCTAACCTGGCGACTCTGGCTCCAGAGAGTTCTTCATACTACATAGTAATCTTTGATCAGCCACAGTGCCTAGCTCAGAGCTTTGCCTACAGTGCCATTTAAAAGTTTATCAAATGAATAACTAAAAAAATCATTGATCTAATTAGCACCTCTCGAACTTTCACTGACTTACAGGCTATTGGGAATCAGCAACTCAGTCTCATTAATCTGAGTTAGAGGGCCTGGCCATGGATCTAATTATGAGCAATTTCAGAATCATAATTACTGTTCCATTTGGTCTCTTGATCTGTAATGCATACAAGGACCTACTCCCAGCTTCTCAGGGAGAAGAAAACAACGTGATTACTTAATAAAGCCTAGCAGCTGTGTGTTTCTGTGAAGCCTCCAGCTCACACCTGCACTGTGAAACGAGGGGGCTGGACTGGATGGTCTGAGGGCTCCCACTTCAATTTTTTTTTTTCTTTAAAGATGACAAGATGACCGGTAAGGGGATTTTAACCCTTGGCTTGGTGTTGTCAGCACCACGCTCAGCCAGTGAGCGAACCGGCCATCCCTATATAGGATCCAAACCCGTGGCCTTGGTGTTATCAGCACCACACTCTCCCAAGTAAGCCACGGGCTGGCCCTGCCCACTCAATTTTTGATTCAGTCTTTGATTCTGAGACAGTATGGAATTGGAAAGAGCCTCTGTGTCAGAAGACATCATTTTGAGTCTCAGCTCTGTCATTATTAACCTGACCTTACCCAAGTTAGCTGACCCAACGCTCAGATTCTCCATCTGGAAAACTTACTTCATTCATTCAAAAAATTGTTGAATATTTGAGCTCCAGGCACTGGGGGTACAGTAATGAACAAGACAGACATGGCCCCCGCTCATCCGGCTAAGAGAATCAGATGCCACCTCATATATTGTAGGTTGTCCAGTTTTGCCAAATCCGATTTGCTGGTTTTTTGATAAGTCTGACAGTGTATTTTAATCAAATCCAGTCAACTTCACACGCAGCTCTCCCCCTGCTTCCCCTGTAAAGGTGGGCTGGGGTCGTCTGTCCCCTGCGTAGTCAGGCGGCAGCAGCCTGCAGGGCACACTTGCGGGCAGGGTGAGGTCCCTGGCCCACTCCCGCAGGCCTCTGTCGGAAAGCCACCGGGCTGGGTGGGGGTCTGGGTGGGTTCACCGGCTCTTAGTTGTGCTGAGTGACCCTCACGTCACCAGCCCCCTCCCAGGGTTCAGTTTCCTCCACTGTGAAAGGCAGGTCTCCCACGGCGACTGTGAAACACGGATGGCGTGGCTCTGGCTAAGTCACCGGCTGCCCGACTGGCTGCTTCGCCATCCAGGGGCACCCGCGGGGCCGCGCGCGGGGGCGGGG